TTGAGAGAGAGAGAGAGAGAGAGAGAGAGAGAGAGAGAGAGAGAGAGAGAGAGAGAGAGAGAGAGAGAGCGCCTCTCGGAGATTTAATGATTGTGTATGCTATCGCCCTAAATCTTGCTTACGTTTTATAGTAATATTTGTAGAAATGGGATGTGTGTGTGTTGTATACCGGAAATTGGAAAAGGCCTAAAGAACAATGACTAATGAAGTATCATTCTTTCTGTCTTTTTTAATTTTTAAAAATAATTCTACAGAATCTTTTGTATAAACTCTGTGTTCTGTTAGTGGATTTTGTTTATAACTTAGTTTTAAAGCCTTATTTTTGTGAGATCGTCGATCCGTATTGCGGAAAATATTGTTAATACGACGGAGACAATTATTAACAAATTCTGACGAGTTTAGTTAACGTAACTGGTGAAAGAGATGTTTGTAAGAGTATTCGTGTACGTACATGTAAAAAATTACAATATTTCTAAAATAGGCTTGGATGAAATTAATCAGAACTTTTCTATATTTTAATATAACATTAACATTCTTGATAATGACCAATGAAGGGCGAAAATACCAGAATCCAAAGATTATGAACTCTGGACAATTTCTTGATTTGATCTAAGAGTAGCTGGCCAAGAATTTTAACAATTATGTCACCACAACAGATGGTCTCAGTTCTTCTGATATGAATCAACTGGACTACTATGTCAGGGGCGTCATCAAAAGGAAGATCAACAAGTGTCCAGAAAATACCCAGGATTCATTGGCATAATAGCCGACCTGAATGAAAAGCAGTTCATTTGATCATAAAAGATACTTCATAGGCTGCAGTGAAGCCGTCCGCAGAGCTGAAACTAGTTTTATTGCATAAACGTTTTCTGTTTTAACTTTTTCTAAGTGTAGCTTGTGTTTTGTAAAAATATTCGAATTATTTCTGCTGAATATATATATATATATATATATATATATATATATATATATATATATATATATATATATAAATAATTTATTAAATAATTTAGACAAGTTTTGTTTACTTATTTTTAATAGTATCTTCTCGTAATTACGGATAAGATTCTTAGTATCCTTATTAAAGGAAGAAAGAAAATTATCATGTTGATGCGTATTCATTTTATTCCGAGAACAATTTTTTGTCTTAGAAAGACAAAAAATTGTTGTGTTTATCATTTTTCTGAGACAAAATTGCTGTGTTCATCTGAAAATTAATTTTTTACGCGTGAAGTGAAAAACTCTAAGGTTATGTACTGTACAATTTTTTAAGTTTTCCATGTATACACACGTGCAAACACCAAAGGAGGAATGTATAAATTTTTTTTTAAAAAAAGAAAAATAATCTATTTGAAACTATTAGTTATACCTATATATTTTAAACTATCTATATTTGTGCAGTATTCAAAATTAATTTTATTATGGGTTGGTTCATTATTTTAATATAGATAACTTCAAAAAATTTCCCAAATTGCAAATGTGGACAGGCATGCTGTTGTAAATGTTGAGAGATGCTAGATACATCATTCAAATGAAAACTCAACTTTCGAGATAATGTAGTAATGGTATGGCCAACATATATATTAGTTTTTCTGTTAACGATACAATCTCCCAAGGGATATTTAAATTTATATACAACGTTGGTTTTCTGCAGCACGTTAGTTGGTGGTGAGGAGTCATTACGAATGATTAAATTGGGTATATTGAATTCAGCATGTAATATAATATTTTAGGATATTTAATTAACCGTAAACATATTAATCTTTTATATAGCAATCAAATACATTCTAATTATAAACAGAATGAAAATATCCTTAAAAAACTAATAAATAATAGTATATATATATAAACCACAAATCCTATTAAAAAACTAAAATTAATTATTTTCTTTACTAACTTTAATATATCCAGTTTAACCATGTTTTGTTGAAAATACATCCATACTTTTTCATGAAAATAATAAACATAAACTAAAAATTATTGAAGCTATATTAAAATTGATTATATCTATATTAAAAATGTTGAACACAACAATTTTTTGTCTTAGAAAAAAACAAGATCCTGATGACGATTAATGTCGAAAGTACTCGGAATAAAATGAATATGTATCAACAGGGTAATTTTCTTTCTTTAATAATAATACTAAGTAACTTGTCCGTAATTACGAGAAGATACTATTAAAAATAGACAAAACTTGTCTAAATTATTTAATGAGACATGTCTTAATGAAAACATACTACCAAAATATACGATATATATATATATATATATATATATATATATATATATATATATATATATATATATATATATATATGGTGCATGAATACTGCAGTGTTGTTTGTGCTTTACGGAGAACGATGCAGCAAGCAATGTCCTATTTTCCCTTTCTAAGAAAGCAATTTTCTAAAAAAAATTAATAGATTCATTTTTAATCCGATATTTTATTACTTCAAGCGTTATTTTTTTATTGTATACCCCGTTTTTTTTTTTGCTTTTGTTTAATTATTTAAAAATATATGTATTACGTTTACCGGCCGGCGCATTCGAAAAAACTTAATGAAGAAATATATTCTCTGGTAGGATTTGAACCGGCATCCCCTTTTGTAGGGAAAGCACGGTTTAATCTGGCGTATTTTAAACCGCTCGGTTACAGGATCTTTTTAACGTTTTAAGCAATGCACACTCTTTTGTTCTGCTAGATTTCCTATTCCGAACGCAAACAAGTCAATTTCTAAAGAATTAATGAATTTATTTTTAATCCACATACATAATAATTTGTTTTTAATTATCTGACGCACCATGTTTATGACGTGTTACACAAGTTAGAATTTTAATAGATTGAGCAATCTGTTCATATCTCAAGTTATACAGCATTTTCCGCGTCTCGCCGGACACTTAAAAATGAAGAACCTTTCTTTGAGAAACCATTTTCTAGAATTCTTTAGATAGCATCACTTATATATGAGCAGAAACGAAAATATATTCTTATATTATTTTGTGAGAAGAGCTTGCTAAAAACGGATTCAAAGCAGGTGCCTATGTTTTATATATATATATATATATATATATATATATATATATATAGAGAGAGAGAGAGAGAGAGAGAGAGAGATTTACCTGCGTGCGTACTTATATATTCTTATAAGGGTGTATTAATATAATATGTATATATATATATATATATTGTGTATGTGTGTATGTGTCTACCTATGTGCATATGCATGCAACAACACTGCAGTATTCATGCACCACATCATGCAGATATAAAACGTATATGCATATAAGGAGGAGAAAAATGTTTAATACATAAACTGTCATGCATTTTATATAATAAGAGGCGTTTTTGCTACTTTCTTTTTTATTTGTTAGCAACGCTATGTGGCAGTTCGATATCCGGAGAGCGGCCGGGAGATGCATTTGTTGTCCATTTCTTTCCTGCTGTCAACTTAATGTGCTTGAGAGCAGTAAAAGAACAAAGCAAACAAGCAAAGAGAAAGTAGCAACGTCAAATGTTCATTCAACATTTATAACTTTGGTGACCGGCAGAATTTGCTGCAAAACGGATAACATCTTCTCTAAATTGAGTCGAACAGGAACGGTTCCTCTTGAACAACAAAGGAGAAAAATATTCTCTTTACCATTATTCCTCTTACGAAAAACATTCGAAATCAGTTGGCCATATTCAGAACTCCGCATTTCCCTACTTAGGAGCGGCCTCTACAATCGATGACTGTTTATATATCCATACTTTTAGATGAAGTTTTGTTAGAATTATAATGACGACAATGCTTCTTCGGATAAATTAATACTACTACTATGTCTAATACTAATAGTTGTAAAACAATCTAACGTAGAAGTAAAATTCGACAAGATTTTCAATCGGTAATATGCTATTCCAATCAAAAAGGCATGCAAAAGACAAGGTTATGCATTCAAATCTCGTCGGAGATTATTTTACTTCCGATGCATTATGTTTACTTAACGGTCGTAAAATATGAAAACCACCCGAGCATTGCGATAAAAAAGGCGAAAAAAAGAAAAAGAAAAAAAAAAAACTGTGCAAAATCAATGATAACTGCAGAATGTGTTTCATGAAAGTGAAATTAATGTTTGACTTCAAGAAGATGGCTGATTATATTTTGTAACTTGTGTTAATTTACAACATATCCTATATACACTATAAATAAATGAATAAATTTGCCTTTATTTACATTTTGTATGATAGTGAAATGAAATTATGAAAAAAAAAAAATATCTAAAGAGCAAAAAGAACTTCATAAAAACCTTGGAGAGACGAGATTGAATCAATGTGTCCGTATCCTGACATGTTGTTAGTTGAACTTTGATTTTAAATTTTCACTGTTTTATCTAAATGAGTAATATTTACCATTGAATTAAGTGCATTGACAAGGAAGGAGATAATGTTGAAAAATAAATATTTGTTGAGTAAAATGCTTTTTTTAAAAAAAAAAAAATCCTTAGACTTCTGATATATTGATGCACCAAAGTATACATATAGGTGCATTCAGTCTTCTCTTATTGCATGTGCAAATGAGTAAACCTATGACCTCTGAATGTTTACTTGATTATATGGACGAGCCTAATTTTATTAATTGCGGTAATTTTATCAGTAAAATACGTCCAAGCCTAAGTTGTGACTAGGAATTTGGATTCTCAGCAAAACAGTCTTCATTTTCCAGAATTAAATCCGCGATGAAAAAAAATTTAAACTTAGTAAATATCTGTATATAAGTGGACATTCGCTCCTATCTCAATTACATACCAGACATACATGGAAAATGACTGATTTGTTTTTTTTAGGGATTATCAATCTTTTGCAGGTTATTTAAAGCCGGATCATGCTTTTGTGATTATAAGAATCGTTTGGAGATGATAAGGTATTTTCTTATACAAGTTCTACTAATTAACTCATTTAATCTACTTAACTCAGCTTTCCGATTTCCAGTTTCGAGCCATTATCCATCACACCACCCGCACATCCAAGTATTCCCAAGCGGTCACCCATATAGGTACTGATCATGCTCGACGTTGCTTAACATCGGTGATCATCCAGGGACCGGTGTTTGAATGCGTTGTGGCCGTAAGCCACATCCATGGAAAAAGAAATATGCGAGTGTTCACGTGACCATTTTAGCTGTCCTAACCTTTATGCGCTGAATAGTCGCCCTATTTCTTCGCTGATTATATCGTGTTAGGAAAGTGCTATTTGGAAAAACGAAACGACACAAAATAGACGAATTGTTTTCTTTGTGATTCTCACTGAAGGCGAGGGAGGAGAAAACGAATTCCATTGTGACATTTCTCAGAGCAAATCTGGAATGGTATTTAGGTTAAGAGGTGAAGTCCATTTTTGACTGTCATTCTATTTTAATATTGTATAAAGATATAAGAAAATGAATTCTTTAATAAAATGTAGACACCACGTCATATTGGGCTAAAATGTATGCATGAACAAATACATGTATATCTGTGTATGCAGGTACCTCAAATGATTAGCTAAAAAATAAGCATAGCATGATGAAAAAATGTTCCAAACGTAATAAAAACAAACTTTTATCAAAAACTTTGTTATTATTAAAAGGAAGCAACAAAGAGGTTTTTAATTATTAACTTATATTTTTTGATCTTTCGTAAAAAGTTCGAAATTTTGGTTAAAAATATTGTTTTTTATTTTTGCGTTAGCTGGAGGGACCAATGATTAGGAACTTTTAGCGTTTTTTTTTTTTTTTGTTATGTCCAAATAAATTTTTGTAATGCAAAAATGTTTATGTGGGGGAGACATCACATGATCTAAAAGCCCGCACCTACAAACACAAGAGAGACTTGTGTTTAAACAATGGCTATCTCTCGTTTTGCAACGAAACCTTATTGGTCATTTGATTTCACTAATGCCACGCTAATTAAAAAAAAAAAGAACATAAAGAAAAAGGAAAAAATGCATTGAAAACTTAATGTTAACATTATTACCAACTATAAACACAGGCCTAAAACATAAGTTTCCTATTTGTTCTTTTATTATATATATATATATATATATATATATATATATATATATATAAAAGAATATATACATATATATAAATATATATATATATATATATATATATATATATATATATATATATATATATATATAATGGGGGAAGCTATATATATGTGTGTGTGTGTGTGTGTGTGTGTGTATTTGTGTGTGTAGGCCAAAAATGAAGTACTGTTGTCATATTGAGCGGGTCTGCCCAGTTCTCACTCTCCAGCCTTGATAGAGTTCAAAAGTGTCTCTCAGTCCTTGTGGATAACGAATTATTTTCCACCCCTCAGTCACTCTGTCATAGGCGGGATGTGGCGACCCTCTCACTTCTCTATCGCTACTTCCACAGAAAGTGCCCGGACGAACTACATTCTTTGTTTCCGCCATGTCTAACATTCACGGACCCTTCATGTCATCACTTACATTGTAGCAAACGACCCACAGTCCCTCCGTATTCCACTGGTGAGATGTTCCGCTGGAACAGTTTCTTCCTGCGAACAGACTCCCAAGAGGATGCTTCCCCGACCATTACAATCTTCACCTGTTTAAGTCAAGCGTTAACCGTCATCTTCCCTCCTATCCATATTAACTACTCCTTAACTCAACTCTCTACCTCGAGTAGCCCCAGGACCTTGTACAGGGTGAACATTTACCGTAAAAATTATTATATATATATATATATATATATATATATATATATATATATATATATATATATATATATATATGAGGGAAAGAGAAAGAATTTGGAAACCTTTTACTTGGATATATTTCGTCAAATGAATCGGCGTCATCAGAACAAGATCTGCATTAGGGAAACAAAATATCATTAAAACAAAGCCTTATAATTTTTTACTCCCATCACAACAATAAAATAAAATATAATAATGTTGGTCTTTATTACAATTTGCAGATCCGCATATCTATCTAATGCAAAAAATATACATTGAAAGTATTTTTTAAAATTCTTCGCTTTTCTTTTTTCTGTTTCATATAAAATGTCAAAAGAAAAACAATCGCAGAACGAAAAAAGAAAAGATAAACTACAACACAAAATCTAGACCTATTATTATCAACAAAATATATAAATAATGAACCTGAAAGAAATATAGCTAATCTCAATGTACAAATTATCACAAACATTTCAAGAATATTTAAAAATTTAATCAATGTAAAACAATTATTAACGGCAACTAGGAAACAGAATGTAAACAATGGCCACTTACAAATACATCGTCGAAAGACCTAAATTTAAAGGAAAGAATATATGAATACAAATGGGACATAAATCAAACAAAATATATTGAGTAAACTTGTATGTTGCCGGAAATTTCGAGATCATAATTTTAACCTGGAAAATAGCATTTTATTGAAAAAAATGAATATGATTTACTCAGGCAAAGATCTATTGAAAGTGTCATGATCTATGAATCCCTTATGACAGGATTGGGTAAATTTATCTACTGTTCTTAATAAATTAGTACCGAAATGAAAAACCTTGAAAAAGAAATAAAAAAAACATTCATCTGTACAAGAAAGAGAATTGTTTCCTCGATAAAGTACATAACAACGTTTGTATTTCAGCTTTCAAACTTTCAACTATAATGAGCTACGTTTCACAGATAAACCAATGTAAATAGGGACACATTGATAGCACAACGTAGTGAATTTATATCCTGAAGAATAGGGAATTCTTTTAGTGGGGAAAATCTTTCAGAATAAGATTTAATTTTACCCTAACAAATAGTATAACCCAGGAGGTTCGTGGAAGTTTCATAGAATGTGTACTTGTGACTGCACGTCAAGTTAAATCCTCTCAACAATTTCAATAAATCTTCTGAGGCTAATGCTCTGTTCGTCATTACTTTTTCCTCAGACGTCGTTATCTATTGAAGCAAACATGTTAGTAAAATAATGGTCGACGATGAATTTGTCTCGAATCTGCTGACAGTAGGCAATTTCATTGGAATCTTGTGTGAATTGTTATAAATAACCACAGGCCTCGAAAAAAATGTCTTGTCTTGATCAAGTATTTGGGAAAATCATAATTGTGCTACAGTGATTGTAATCTTGTTAATGTTTAGTAAACAGTGTGAAACAGTTTAGACACTGAGAGTAAGCGAATACCATTATTTTCTTGTGTTACTTATTAATGATCAATATGAGTTCGCCATGAAGAAATGCTTGGCTTAATTATTGCTTCTGCAAGTAACCTCTTTAGTTGTAATAAAGTCATTATCTGTAGAACTTTGTTTTCTTGACTAAGTAGATATTGCGCTAGAAATGTTGGTAGGATAAGCAAAAAGTTGAGGAGGTGGGGACACAATAGGTTTTCTTAATCAAACTTTACGCTCTGATATTCCTAAATTCCTTTCCAAACATAGCATCAGTACATAAATCAGACAGCATCTCATATCCTTCTACTGTTTCCCTTTCAGCTAAACATTCAGAAGTCTTCAATGATGTCATAGATACAGTGTTAGAATATGATTATGTATGCAAATTTAGTCTCCGGCATAGAAAGTCCTTAGTGCTATTTTTGTTTATAATTGTATCGAGCCTATTATTTAGTTCCGGTAATAATTAAAAAAAAAATATATTGATAATAACTTGTTTTGTATAAGGTTTTATTACGCAACGTATGTGCAACATATTTCTTGTTTATAAGTAAAAGGCTATACAAATCTATTTGATAAACACGATATTCCCTGATATGCCTGATGGAATTATTTTGTTTTGTTCACAAATTAATATGGTTTATGGAAATTCTATAACCTCCCTCAATCATTTGTTTATTGGTATTGGTAACTTTTCTAAGTTTTAAACATTACTTGCAGCAGTTTTTATTGCTTCCCCAAAATATTCTTTGGATATTGTTTTCCATTCTCATATAAATCTCTTTTAAAGGTGGGCCACAAGTTTTCTATCTGGGGAGACTGGTGTACATTCCATTAATTTCGCTTTCTTTTTGTAAATGTTGTTTGATAAACTGAACAATAATCAGTTTTGTAGGATAGACACTATATCTTAAATATTTTTCGATGAAACCACTTAAAATGGTTTGTCCAAGAATTTACAATAAATTGCATTTACCATCAAGTTTGAAAAGACCTATAATTTAATTACCCGTAATACTATAGCAAAACATTAATCCAGCTGCTTTGCTCATCTTGATTTTATGCCGTATTAGTTATTTGTTTATATGAAGGTATTAGTTATTTGTTTATATGAAGGTAAAAACGCTAGTTCAGCTCTCCGATCCATCCAATGTAGCTCTACGTCCATCACTAAAAAATACTGTTGAAAAATTGATTTTCGTATCCATTGTTCAACTTGCACATTTCTCTTTGTGCTGTTTACATTTTGGTGATATTTTGTTTCCTTCTATGTTTTTAACCAATGTTCTAGTTTTATAGTAATAAACACGTTGAATGAAAATGTTTGATCATTCCTTTTCGGATATATCTCATATATATGATAAGATAAACAAGAAATAGAAAACTGATTTTCGTGTACATTGTTTTACTTTTATTAAAGCTTAGTCAGTTCAATAAAAATGAAACATGTTAGATTACCTATTTGTTCTTTATCTTATTATCCTGTCAGATTCCGATTCATATTTGATCGCCTAACTTCCATTAATAGCAGATTAATGATATATTGTAATTATTTTTTTAAAACAATATGTTTCCATTGCTACACAGAAATTACTGTTTCGAAACCAAAACTTAAATTAAAATTAAAGTTAAAATTTGAAGTTTCGTTCCATTTTCAAACTTCGGAAAAAATTGATTTAATCCGATGTGTGCTTACATCTAAACACCAAACTTCGAACATAAGTTAAGCGAAAAAAAAAATCATATAATTCTTCTCTCTCTCTTTTCCATATATTTACTGATCTGAATGTATGAGATAAATAAACAGTTAATACTGTTTATTATAAACAAACCATTGCGTATATATATATATATATATATATATATATATATATATATATATATATATATATATATATATATATAATAACCAACGTTTGCGATTTTTATATTTCCTCCC